TGCCAACATCAAAGCCCTTTGTTGGCAGCCCCGTTATTCCTCGTGGGACGAGGTTTACCGGGGCTGCCAACAAAGGGCTTTGATGTCGGCAGGGAGCGTCCAGACTAGCGCGCTGAGCGGACAAACAGCCGATCAGCTGTTTGTCGGCTCAGCGCGGCAGCCATGTAAATTTAAATGAAGCTGCAATCATTTAAATCGCAGCTTCATTTGCCTTTGCCTATGTGTCTAATCTACATGCCTCTGCCGACAGAGGCATGTAGTCTAGACACAGCCTAAGTGAGAGCAGAACCATGTTCCAGCAGCTACAGGCTTTCCAGAGATAATGTACAGTAATTAGAAATAACCCCCATAAACTCCAATTCTCTTTGAGGTGCAAATGAAGAAAAAGAGTTTCTGAATTAACACTTACTATCTTACAGGAAAACTGCACTTAAATTAAAATGAAAAGAATTCAGCACTATCAGACTAGCTAAAGTCTAAGCACTAATATTACCTTAGGCTACGTCTATACTGGCAGCTTTTTGTGCAAGAACTGTTTTGCGGAAGAGTTCTTGAGCAAAAAGTCTTCCACAAGAGCGCGTCTACACTGGCATGTGTTTTTGCGCAAGAGCGTCTATGGCAGTGTAGATGCTCTCTTGTGCAAGAAAGCTCAGATGGCCAATTTAGCCATAGGGGTTTCTTGAGCAAGAAATTCATGTTGCCTGTCCACACTGCCCTCTTGCGCAAGAGGGCTTATTCCGCGTGGGGGAGGAATAACTGCCAGAAGAAGAAGCCCTGTTGTCTGATGCTGAACTATAAATTTACTTGAGCAAAAACGTGCCTGCAGTGTAGACGCTCTGCAAGATTTTGGGCAAGAACAGTTGCTCTTGTGCAAAAAGCCTGCAGTGTAGACATAGCCTTGCAGTGTAGACACAGCCTGAGAGAGACAAGGAAAGGAAGTGGCCAGAGCCTCCCCACAGCAGGCTGGCCCTCAACAGGACAGGCACATCTACACAGCACCCTCACCTCGAAGTAAGCTGTGCAGTGTCTTCTGTGTCCCAGAAGGGCATGAGTAAATGTGCGCAAAGGTTACAATAAGGCACCACTGGGATTCGAACCCAGGATCTCCTGTTTATGAGGCAGGTGCTTTAAGCCAACTGAGCCATGGTGCCCTCCTCAGGGAGTCTGGTGAAACTGTTCTATTCCATGGTCCCAGACAACATCTTTGACTGCCAAAGTGCAGCCAATCCCCATTTCCCTCCAATCCTGGGGGTGTCTGGCTCCCTGGGCACAGCAGGCTGCAAACTGGGATTCGAACCCAGGATCTCCTGTTTATGAGGCAGGTGCTTTAAGCCAACTGAGCCATGGTGCCCTCCTCAGGGAGTCTGGTGAAACTGTTCTATTCCATGGTCCCAGACAACATCTTTGACTGCCAAAGTGCAGCCAATCCCCATTTCCCTCCAATCCTGGGGGTGTCTGGCTCCCTGGGCACAGCAGGCTGCAACTCAGTCGGCAGAGGCTCTAACATGCTCATCTCCCCCAGCCGCTGGGGCTGTAGTGGTGTTTTTCCAGGATACCTCTAGTATCCCAGAAAAACACACCAGTCTAGACGTACCCTAAGTAATCTTGTAACTTTAAAAGGCAACTTTACCCTCTCCTAACTTCCTGGTTGTCTTTGATTACTATTGATCAAGTTGTCCTTTGTTATACTAGCTGTTGGCCTAATTATTTGTCTCAATGCTGCCAGTCTAACTAAAATATTCTTCATCCTTGGGACCATCTGACTAGACGTCACTGTTGTCACACCACAATCCCAGTGGCAACATTAGAACAGGGTGCTTGACCTGTATTTTCTCAGTATATCCACTCAGCTCTAACTACTTGTGCCATAAATAGGGGCCATTCTTTTAGCTGACTTAGTTCTGTATACAATTTACATACACAGAATCCTTGCTCTATTCTCCTGCTCTTGATCATTTTGTCTGGTGTGAAAGAAATCAAACAGTTTCAGCTCAATTAAAACTCTTGTTTTCTATCCCCAGCTGTTACTGAAGCAGTAATTCCTGCCATTAGCTTTTTAGCAGCACATATCACTTGGATTGTACAAATATCTTAGGGTATGTCTACACTACCCCGCTAGTTCGAACTAGCGGGGTAGTGTAGACATACCCTAAGATATTTGTACAATCCAAGTGATATGTGCTGCTAAAAAGCTAATGGCAGGAATTACTGCTTCAGTAACAGCTGGGGATAGAAAACAAGAGTTTTAATTGAGCTGAAACTGTTTGATTTCTTTCACACCAGACAAAATGATCAAGAGCAGGAGAATAGAGCAAGGATTCTGTGTATGTAAATTGTATACAGAACTAAGTCAGCTAAAAGAATGGCCCCTATTTATGGCACAAGTAGTTAGAGCTGAGTGGATATACTGAGAAAATACAGGTCAAGCACCCTGTTCTAATGTTGCCACTGGGATTGTGGTGTGACAATGCAGAGGCTGAAATACCCAGTTTCCATTGAAATGTTGTCTAAAGGCAGCCCCTCCCCCAAGGCCTTGCTTGAAGCAGGGCCATATGCACAATCATGAGAAACGTTTCGCACACCAGGAAAGCTGCACCACCACTGTCAATGTGGACAAGGGCTGCAGCAGCTATTAATGCTGTCACCACCCTTGCTCTGAGCACGCTGCGACCTTCAGAAACAAAACAAGATATACTTTACAAATGTTAAGTCATGACCTGGGTTTTTTGGTGGGAGGGAGGGAAGGAAGGCAGAAAGGACTGAGTGGAGAGAGTGGAGACTGGAGCAGCGGGACAATGGGACCAAGTACAGATCAGCAAATGTCACTGATGCCAACACAAGTTTGCAGGGTGTGACAGATTCTGGGGTACCATATTTCTAGATTCTAATAGCCTTGTTGCAGTCTGGCCCTGCTCAAGTGGAGACTGGAGCAGCGGGACAATGGGTTGCAGTCTGGCCCTGCTCAGTGTGGACAGAGGGCAGGGATAAGAGCCCATACTGCAGTTGCTACAGGAAGGTGAGGCTCACAGCCAGTTGTTTCCCACCTAGACCTTTGCTGCACAGCTGGCTTTGCACTCCTGTGAGTGCTCAGGGAAGGAGAGCAGGTAATGAGTTGCCTACTTGGCCAGCCTCTGACATGCTGGCTAATGCTGCAGTGATGGGCCACTCCTTCTCATTTTATTAAAAATGAATGTCACGTAACAGTTCACAACACGTTGTCAGCCTTCCTCTTACGTTCTCACCAGAGCCACCAAGAAAACACACCACAGCATCCCAGTGAAATTAAAGCACAAAGCTAGAACTACTAATGAACAAAACCAAAGGCAGGGCCGTGTGGACAATCAACAGTTTATTACCAATATGAACACAGATACTGTGGTGCACTGACGTACTGTTTTAATATTGTGATAACTCTGAGTCAAAGAACTTGTCGGCTGACAACTAACATGTCTCTGTTTCTTCTGGTGATGCCACAATACATTTCTGTTGGCAAAGGGTCTTCATTTACATTGCAGACTACCAGTAAAATTACTTTGAAATCATCTATTAAAAGCAAATGGTTCACATGTTTTCTTACTACTACTAAAAAGAAACATAATACATTTAAATAAGCAAATACAAAATACAAAAAAGGCTGACAAATCTCATGTGCAGTGTCAGATGAAATCTAAAAAATCCAGAAATTTAAAATTTAATATTTTCTTTAAGACTTTTAAAATGAAGCAAATCCAAGGCAGCAGCAAGCTTCAAAGTGTGCTCAGTCTGCTAATAAAAAGGGTTTAAGAACAAAGACAGTGCAGGTGTCCTCTTTCACCATCTTGCATGACCTTGATACACTTAGAAATGATCCAATCTTCCTAGCATCCTTAGTACCTCGCAGATGCTGTGCAGTCATTATGTTGTACTGATTCTACTCAACTCCTGCCTTATGGCTGGAAAACCAAATCAAAAGGTTAATTCAGACAACTACTCCCAGTAACAGGTGGTAAATAAATACTCTGAGACAAAGGCACAGGTGGTGTAAGTTTTACATTGGCACGAGGGGGAGAGTAACTTGCATAGCAAAGAGGGCAGAAGGGCCCATGGAATTGCAGCTGGAGACAAACAAAAGTAAGAAATTGTGTGTAAAAGAGCTGTTCTGTTTTGTATTTTCCTATCCACGTCTAATTGTTGCTTTTCCTATTAAAATTTGCCCGTGTCACCCAAATTGCACAACTTGTGCCTACTCCTGCTCCCATTGATTTCAATAGCAGCACAATTAGGCTGCCTTACACCAACATGTATGTTGCCCCGGAACCACAAATCTTAGTAAAATAAATCAGGGTATTGTTAAAAATGCATTGAAAAAATATGGTACAAATACACACGTAAAACAACGGTCACATTTCTTGAAAACTGTTCAGCACTTTATAAGTTAAGCCTCACTCGGCTCTTGTGAGTACACATGTACAGGTTAAGTATAATAGTGTAGGTAGGTCATACAGCCAGGTGAGATCAGAGCCAAATAGTTCAGATTCCCTTTCCTCTACCTAACAACTGCACCACACTGTTCGCTCTATGCTGGTGCTGAGATCCATGGAAAGTCTTACAACTTCCTACCGACAGTCACATTCTAGAGAAATTAGTATTCTTTTTATGTAGTTTCAAAACCATGCTAGAAAACTGTATTTTGCTAGAATATGGTTATAAAAACACAAGCTTTATGAGACAAATCTCAGATTTAGCTTCTGATCACTGCAGCTGTTGGGAAGGAGATGTGGTCCCAATGTAAGGCTACGTCTAGACTGCAAGCCTCTTTCAAAAGAGGCTTTTTCGAAAGAATCTTTCGAAAAAGCCTCTTTCGAAAAAGAGTGTCTAGACTGCAATCAGTACTTTCGAAAAAGCAAGCCGCTTTTTCGAAAGAAAGCACCCAGGCAGTCTGGATGCTCTCTTTCGAAAACACCCTGTTTGCATTCAAGAATGTCTTTTTTTGAAAAAGCACTTTCGAAAAAAGGTGTTCTTCCTCGTGAAATTAGGTTTACCGCCGTTGAAAGAAAAGCCGCATTCTTTCAATTTAATTTCGAAAGAACGTGGCTGTTGTCTAGACGCAAGTGAAGTTTTTTCAAAAAAAGGCTACTTTTTTCGAAAAAACCCTTGAGTCTGGACACAGCCTAAGGTACTATACAATTTTCTAGATATGTTGTGGGGACTTCTGAGCACCACCACCCTGATACATCAATACTCTGCTATGGTACCACCTATCATTAATAATATTCATACAGTAAGTTAGAGGATGAAGTTGTAAATACTTAAAATAACATTTATTTTTGCTTCCTTTCAGCTGCCGAGCAACAAGTCCAATGATCCCAGCAATTCTGTAGTGGAGTGTTTTTATTGCTGTATAATCAATATCTTTTGTCCCTGGAACAGTACCAAGCTATGGGTGTTTTCTTTGCTAACAGAGTAGCCAGTATCGGAATCTAGTTTGTTTAAGGTAGGGCAAAACTTGCTGAATGAACAAAGCTACACACACAGGTGAAGCAATTCAGTTTTGTTATATGCGAGGTACCCTACTGTATTTACCACAGGTGAGAATTCATCACATAGCATAGTCACTGAAAGACCAAGGACAACAGAACTTCCTTCTTTCCAATCTGCATGTAAAACAGAGCTGGGTTTTGAGCATCTGAGTTATTGTCCTGCTGGTAAAAATCCCTTACTTGAAGCTCTGATATACACAGTTGACTGAAATCAGGATGACAGGTAATAGTTATGCCATCCCCAAAAGGCAAAGCAAAACTGCTGAAAGGATCCAGACTGCATGCCTTGCATTCAAGCTTTGAAACAGGGCATACACAAATAAGGCATGTAAAAATGCAACCGAGTGATCAAAACTCAGTACCGATAGGTACTTCTGTCTCACGTGGTTCCACGCCAGCCTCTGAGCAATGGTCACACCCATGCTGGTCATATCTATTTCATATCTACATATAACAAACATATATTTTAACTAAGAGCTTCTTGGAAAGTACAGGTTGAACCTCTCTAGTCCAGTCCTCTCTAGTCTGGCACCATCCATGGTCCAGCATGATTTTTAATTAACTGGATGTCCACTTATTTGGGGTATGCGTCCAGCATGATTTTTAATTAGCTGGATGTCCACTTATTTGGGGTATGCCCAAGTTTCCCGTAATCTCATAAAGTTTATTTACAGCCACCAGTCCTGGCTCTCAGTGTTCTGTGCTGTTATTTAGTTCTAATATTGCCTCTAAATATCTTCTAAGAGGCCAGTAAGCAGTGGAAGTGTTGGTAATGCTGCTCGATAATACTGACCTCCTGTGGTTCGGCAGATTCTCTGGTTCGGCACAGATCAGGTCCTGAGGGTGCCAGACTAGAGAAGTTCAACCTATAGTTATAAAAGTACTTTCTGAGGAATTCTCTGCAGCTTCTATTTTCTCATGTGTTGAATTTAAGCAAAATCTCTCAGGACCAAATTGATCAAAATCAATTATTTTTCTATTTCTTACCATCAATTATCTCTTCTTTCACTTTGTGTAACTCTCTTACAACTTCCTCCAGTATTTCCTGATGAGACAAAACAAAAGATGTGTGTTCAGAATTCCATGTCCTCCTTTCCTGGCTGGTCCATAAAAATGATAACCAAAGAGCCCAAGTCCTGTGCTTGCTGATGTACCAGGGGGTGGCATAGCTACACTAGCATTTTGATCCAATAACAGTGGGACTGTTTCCCTCTAAGCTTCAGGAAACCACAATGATCTACCCTGATCTCCTCCATAACAGGAGTATTGTAAGTCTGGGCAAACAAAAAGGCAAAAAGTGATGTTACTATCTTAGGTTACATCTAGACTACATACATCTGGCGACAGAGGCATGTAGATTAGGCTACCCAGCATAGGAAAATGAAGCAGCGATTTAAATAATCACCACTTCATTTAAATGTAAATGGCTGCCATGCTGAGCCGATCAGCTGTTTGTCGGCTCAGCGCGGTAGTCTGGACGCTCCGCGGTCGACATCAAAGGCATTTGTCGACTTCCCAGGTATGCCTCCTGGGATGAGGTTTACCTGGGAGGTCGACAAATGCCTTTGATGTTGACCGCGGAGCG